GCCCTGGGCAGGGTCCACACAGCACCTTCTGAGGAAAAGATGAGTGTGGGAGAAAAAGAAAAAGTAAAGACCCCAGCCCTCTCCCACAGCAAAGGGTCAGCGAGGAGTGGGCCACCCTGAGGTGGAGGAGGAAATCTCAATTTCACTGAAGTTCAAGTTTGTATTATTGCCTGAGACTGACAAGTTCCAGGATGGACAGAGGCCGGTCTACGACTCCAGGTCACCCTAGGGCTTTCGCAGCAGGAGTGGCAAACCTCATGGTGTGCTGCAGTTTTCGTTGTCAGGATAAGGAAAGGACTCATAGCTCTGAGCAAGTAAAATGGGGCAGAAGGAAACCAAAACAGCAGGGGTTTATAAACATACCCATGAGCTTTACTCGTTCAGGGAGTTTGAGGTCCACGCGCAATCCTGCCCATCCTGAAACACGTGTCCCTTGACTTTGCAGACTCTGTCCCCACCCTCTCCGAGTCTTCCCCAAACACCTCCAGAGTGTCACCTATGCTTGTTTTCCCCACTTTCTTGTGTCCCATTTATTCACCACCCACTGCCATCTGGCTTCAGACCCACTACTTCCTAGAAGTGGTTTCAGCGGGCTCTGCTGAGCTGACCCCTTAGACTTAAGGTTACTGTCAGTCTCCCTTACGAAGGCTCCCTTCAGTCCAAATACTGTGTTTTCTTTTTCTCTTCCTCAGATGTACCTCTGGGCAACCTCATCCTCCTTCTAATCGCTTGCAACTCTCTTCTGAGCCTCAGATGTCACTCATCAATACATGCACTCACTAAATATTTTCCTCATACCTACAAAGTGCCAGGCAGTCATTAAGCATTGGGGATACAGTCCTGGCTTCATGTAGCATACAGACTAGGGGATGACAAAAGACAGTAAAGAAAGGCTCCCCAGTTGGGAGAGCTAAGTAGAAACATCTCTCAGTGGTTCTTAATATAAGCCCTGGGGGTCATTAGGACAGTGGCTTCAAGGCATCCATAAACTTCATGAAATTATATGCAAAGTTCTGTCCACTTATCTGTGTTCAGGTTTGATAAGAACTATGGCTTTCATGCTATTACTGAAGAGGTCGTTGACTCAAGAAAGTTTAAAATCCACAATGATAGGTTATTCATGTGACACTGGAGATGTCACTTTGGAGAAAGTCAGGGCTTAAGACTAGATTTGAGAGCCTTCTCTGGGTCAATGCTTCTCAAGGTCTTTCCCTGAAGAATCTCAGGGGCAGAAGGCACACAAAAGTGACACACAACAGAGGCAGGAACGGACCTCCAAGGCTTAACTCAAGCTCAGGAAGCCTGCTTATTCCTTCCTGCTCCAGAAAGTCCTATGGCTTTAATAACACTTTCCCAAATCTCTCGACCCCGCAATAATGCCACATTCCTCAGGTGCCGCCTGCTCCCAGTGTGAGAAGCACAGACCAAACCTGTCCTGGGAGAACGAGGTCTCCCACAGAGCAAGTGCAGAGCAAAGGCTAAACTCTGGAGGCCCAAGTGCTCAAATCTGGTCTAGAGGCATGTCCTCTGGCCCTCAGAGCTTTGAAGTAGAGGGATCTACTGCAAACATTTGGAAGTCAGGAGATTTTCCCAAATGATCTGGACTTGCATCTTCTTTTAAAAGGCTGAGGACATGACAACATGTACCCGCCTCCGCCACTGCCACCCCCTGGTACCATCACGTGGGGCTGGTAGTGGCTGCCTCCTTGGGTGGGGCATGTCTTCTTTGGTCCCCAGTCCCTGTCCCTTACACTGGCCCCTGCTGTCCTTCATGGCACCAGCAGCTCATTCCTGACATATGAAACTCCAGTGTAGACAAAGACAAGCAGAGGACAAATGGAAAATCTTGGGAAATAGCTGTCTACCAGACAGTAGAAAAGAGATATACAGGAAGAAAGAAGGAAGAAGTAAAAGAGAAAGAATACAAATTCCCTTAATGCAAAAATACATTATGTTGCCTACTGGGAGACTCAGCATCTAAAGACTCATTCGATCTAATGTCATTTGGATTATGAAAACGTTCTCCTCATTCCATCCTTCATCAGAATAAAATCATTACTATTAAATTCTAGGATCACGGAAGGGAATGGAAGCCACCATGTCCTAACATTAATGAAGTTGTCTTTATCTGCTTAATAGCATCAGAAGGGCCATAAAAATTCCCTCTTACAACTAATTATTTCCATCTACTACTATTAATAAAGTAAGCATTTCATAAGTTATGATACACTGAAAAGATATCATTGGTATTTGATTCTATTTTGTACTTCAGAGATGCATGTAATATTAATGACTCATGATCACTTTATTTTCTAGTCTTTTTAAAGTGCATATTAATCATCTGTTAATGTTACCATAACCCATAAAATTCAAGCTAAATTTTCACTCAGTGCCTTACATGGCAGCCATGTTCTCTGGGCGTCCCACAGCTGTGCCCTGTATTCACTTTATTCCCTCTGCTGCTAACACCACTGCCACACTCTCATTCCCTCATCTGTCACTGCTGGAGCTCAACTTCCCTGTGTGTCCTGGAGGAAGCATTGTTTGACTAAAAATATGAAACTCACTGCTTGTCAGTCCATCCTTTGAACTTCATCCTCTAAAGATCTGAAGGGGTCTTTAAGTACTCCCTACTAAATGTTTTAAGTTGTGTTATCCGATTCTATTCTGCACTTCAGAGATGCATGTGATATGCATGTGGTAAAATACATACAACATAAACTTACTATCTTAACTATTTTACCTGAGCAGTTCAGACTTTAAAGTACATTCAAATTATTGTGAAACCATTGTCCAGAACTCATTTTATCTTGCAAAAACTGAAAGTCTATACCCATTAAATAATGACTCTCCATTCCCCTCTCTTCTAAGCCCCTGACAACAGCCACTCTACTATCTGCCTTCATGGATTTGGCCATTCCAGGTACCTCATATGAGTGGAATCAAACAGTATCTGTCTTCTTGCTGACTGGTTATTTCATTTAGCATAATATCCTCAAGCTTCATCCATGGTGGAGCATTTATCAGAATTTCTCCCACTTCTTAAAGCTGAATGATGTTTCATTGTATGCATATGCCACATTTTGTTTATCCATTCATCTGTTGATGGACATTTTTGTTACTTCCGCCTCTTGGCTATCGTGAATAGTGCAGCTATGTACATGGCTGTGCAAATAGCTCTTTGAGAACCTGCTTTCAACTCTTTCAGGTATACACCCAGCAGTGGACTTGCCGGATCACCTGGTAGTTCTATTTCTAATTTTTCCGTAGCAGCTGTACTATTTTATATTGCCACCAATAATGCCCAAGAATTCTAATCTCTCCACATCATCTCCATACTTATTACTTTCCACTTTTTGAGAGCCATCCTAATGAGTGTGAGGTGGTAAATGACCCATTACATTGTAAATATCCCAAAGATTTTGCTTTGGTTCTCAGCTAACAATGTAAGTGATGGATCTACATTATTATTTGCAGAGAGCTGAGCGCATGACATGAAAATGCGGCACATCTAGGTTGGGATGAGAACTGAGCCACGAGGCATCTCTGTCTGAGGAAGTTTTTGTCCCAAAAGATCACCTCCCTTGTTGCACAAATCTGTTCATGGGCAGCTCTGCTCCAGTGCAGTTCCTCAGCTTTCAAAATAAGCAGGATAACGGGAGAAAAAGGAGCAGGGGAGTTGGTATGTCTCTAAATTTTACTCTGGTCTATTGAAAATTTGCAAACTGGAAAAAGAACTTCATGACTGCCTATAGAAAGCCCTCACTCCTATTCCGCAATTCCTTCTTGCTATCCCCCTTCACACCAACAAACGCTGCCCTACAACTAGGCTGAGGTATGAAGGCCTCTCCCACTTCTTCAGACTTAAGACAGAAACATGAAGATTTTACGAGTCAATTGGCCCTCAAAGAGAACTCACAGAAAGTACTGAACTATAACTCGGGTATCATCTTGTTTGAAAATCAGTGCATTTGTGGTGGGCTGAACAACACACCTCCATATGTCCCACCTACCTTCCCCCTTAAAAATCCATACCTTAATCCCTGGCATCTATGAATGTTACCTTGTAGGGGAGAAAGGACTCTGCAGATGTGATTAAGTGAAGGATCTTAAGATAAAAGGATTCTCTTGGTTTATCCAAGTGGAACCCAACTGTCATCACAAGGGAGGGAGACAAGAAAGTCAAAGGAAGAAGGTTCTGTGATGCAGAAAGCAGGGCAAGAAGAGAATGTACGTGGTCATGAGCTGAGGAATTCCGGCTGCCTCTAAAAGCTGGTAGAGGCTGGGAGATGCCTTGAATTTCATTCTGTAAAGCTCATTTTGGATCCTTGACCTTCAGAATGTAAAATAATAAATTTGTGTTGCTTCAATCCACTGCATTTGTTACAGCAGTCATAGGGAATGAATAGGGCATCAAAACCAACCTACTTCATGCAACATCCTTTATATGTGAGCTTTCCAACTGGTGTGCCATGAGGTACTCATCTCTTTGTCTCCAGGGGCAGCTGGGTGGGAATTCAGCAAAAATCATAAGGAGCTGCCTGAAGGTCATCTGTTTACTCCGGCTGCCACACAAATATTATCCTTTTCTATGTATTCCTGTGTCATGAAAAAGGGTGGAAAGTACTACGAATAGTCTGAGGTTGCAAGTATGAAAGAGCCCCAGGAATTAATACCTTTCAAACTGCACAATTAAAAGCTCTTGAACTCAGTTCATCAGCTATGAAGAAGAATAAAAGTGTGAGAGTTCCTATCAATTTCAATTTTCCAGTATTACTGTTTGATAACCTATTCTTGAAAACTTTAGTTAAAAGAACAAAATGCAGTGTCCTTCCTCAGCAAGAATGCTACAGTGGTGAGCTCAACACCCTTACTCCTAAGGCCACTGTTTATACACCCTGTTCGTCCATCTCCTGCAATCTCTCCTAGACTCCCTCTCCTGGGGACTCCTCTGTCCCCTCTGAGGACTCGATGGCTGCCAGAGCTTACTAGCCACAGACCTGATGGGGAGAGAAGGGTCTCCGGCGTCCCACCAGTCCTTCGGGGGGCTGATGTACATGCACCACAGCTCCCAGCTGTACCCATGAGCCGAGTTCTCATACCGCTGCACCTCAAAGGTGTCCTGTTTGATGTTGTCGATAGATGGTAGGATCACTCGCTTCCGGTTCTCCTGGATTCGGGATAGAACCGGCTCAGCCCTGAAAGACAGAGAAGTAGAAATAAAATCTCTCTCCTGAGTTCTGCCCACACCTCAATTGGCACAAATCCCAAGGCCAAAGAGAATGAACAGGAGCAACAGAGCTAAAGGTTGGGCCATGGGCAGGCTGGAACTCAGACGGAAACTGAGGCTCCGAGTGACCTGCCCCTTGGGCTCATGCAGCTTTAAGCGTGCCCTGTGAAGCCCTGTGTGAAGCAGCTCACTCCCTTGCCTACGTGGGATCACTACAGTGCTGATGCCTAGGCAGGGGAGGCCTGCAACAAGAGTTTGGAGCAGGAGGGCTTTTCTCCCAGAAAGCACAGGCCCCTCATACTGGCAGTGCAAGCCAAACCAAGGGCATCCAGCTCCTATGATTTGTAGTGCAGCGCCGTTCTGCACGGTATGTTCAGTTTCCCCCTCAGGCACTGGTTGATGCCTCTTGTTTTTTCTGCTGTAGCTGAATTCCCTTTCCCAAAATAGGACACTTCTGCCCTGGATGGCCTGATTTTAATAAGCATTTCACTAGCTTCTTTGTGTGAATATTGTAGTCGTTTTAATTGATTATTTAATTGATTTCTTTAAAAGGATCTAATTGAATTGGTTAGCAATGGCAGGCAGGAACTAATTAAATGCAAAGGCAGGCAGAATCCTGCCTCCCAGCTAGCCTTCCCCCCTCAGGGCTGCAGCGGGAGATAGGCAGGGACAGGGCTCAGGGTTCAAGGTGTGGCCCTCCTGGCTTAGGAGAAAGCAGATGGCCAGACACCCCTGCCAGTGTGTGTCTCTGAGGCAGACATGGGAAGCGATCATCTCCCTTCTGTGGGAAGTGATCATCTCCCTTACCTGGAGAGGAAAAAATGGCTCTCATAAGCCAGGGCATTAATCTCCCCACTTAGAGCACAGGCTTTGGAAAAGAGTCAAGTGAAAATCCCATTCCTCTGCATTATTTGGAAGAATAATGAGAATGTTGGGCCTACATCCCATCTCTTTTCATTTGCAGCTATTGAATTACCTGTTGGCTCATCTCATCTTTCTATTTAAAACAAAGCAATAAAATATACCCTGGGCTATTTGCTGCCTTCAATACTTTTGCACACACCATATAGGCTGAAGCCAAATGGAACTGATTTTCCATGGCTTCTAAATGTGTTTCAGAGCTTCACCCTCTCCATGTCCTCACTCATACTGTTCTTCCCTGCATATGCCCTTCTGCCACTGGCAGGAAGCCTAGCCACCTACGGAGACTTACTAGATCAAGTACCTCCTCTAGATCAAGGAAGCCTTCCCTAATTTTCCCCAGCAGAAAGGCTCTCTCTCCTCCCTCTCAATTCTTAGACCATTTTCCTCACCTTATTCAAATCATTGTGACTACACATTGTCTTTGCTAAGCTTTGAACACACATTATTTTTCCTTATGAGCTAATGATAGCTGATATTTATCAATCACTTACTACAGCTAGGCATCTTTCTAAACATTTTACATGTGCTACCTAATGTACATCTCACAAGAACCCTATGAAGTAGATACTATGATCACCATTTAACAAATGAAAAAACTGAGGCCCAGAGAGGTTAAGTCCTTGCCCCAGGCCACACAGCCAACTAGTGGCAGAACTAGTTATCTAACCTAGACAGTCCAGTTTCATGACCAACGGCTAAGTTTCATTGCTTTCCTGAATGAGCCACACTTCCCCCAGCTGATCTGGGGTCATGCCTGTAGAAGCATTCAGCTCAGCCCGCACCACTGTGTGGAGAGAGTTACTGAACATGGGGGCAGAAGAGCTAGGTTCAATAATGCTTCTGAAGCTGAGGAGTTTGGTGTCCCAGTCAGTGGTAGAAGGTTCAACTGCTCCCAGTTATTTGCTCCCCTCCATGGGGACATCCCACTTACTACCACATGGCCTGCAGTGCTTCCCTGTGGAAAGGGGCACTCCCTCCCTCAAACTCAATTAATGTTTCATTTGGACACGTGACCCACTTTGGCCCATGGGATGTAAGAAGTGACAATGCCCCAGCTGAGCAGAAGTGTAATAGCCATTGCAAGGTTCAGCTGCCCTTTTCCCTGAACCATGAAAGTGGAATGTCCTAGATAGAGTCCTCCTACAAGCAACTTCAGACTGCATAGACAGGACATGTGTTTCTCATTTAAATAGCTTTTTATGTTTGATATTTTACAATTGTCTTCTCTGCTATTTCTACAGTTTCAATCCAGAAGCATATTGTCAACTAAAGATAGAAAATAAACAAAAAATCCAATTCATTCAGTGAAGCAGCCTCTGATTCTCTGAGAATCATGAATGTCTCAATGTGGCATGGTAACCCCTCCCTCCCTGCCCAGGTCCATCATGGACCAGCCAGGCCAGTAGACAGGAGCTGCCCACTGTAGTGCTCGGTTACTCATACCACTAAGAGTCCCCGGATGCTCTTGCTGGGAAATGTCTACTCCTTAATTGTGTTTCTACCTAATACACTTACTTTATGTTCCCCAGACCCATAATGGAGGGCTAAATTTCCTGGATTTTAAAAACATAGAGAACTATAGCATATTTTGGGTGTCAATATTTCAAAGAAACAAATAACAGCTTTACCAATTATTACCAGATTATTAATCTACAGATTTTACTATTTTTTTAATTAGGATTTTTTTAATTGGTTGTTTTAGTATTGTTTCTTAGCACAGTAACAAAGGCAGACTTAAGTAGCTCACCATATATAACCAATCCAACAGCAACTACTATTCCACGCCTTATAATTAACAGCTTAAGGTATTTTACTATAGGTTTTCACAAACCTGATTCAAGCCTCTAAAATTTTCACAATAAAGTAGATTGGCATATAAAATAAAATACATTATCATCCCTTTCCTATATGGTATCTTACAGCCACATTTCCCTTTCATATATATGAGATGACAGGCTGTTAAATATTAATGACTCTTTTCAAGAAGGGAAAACAGATTTCAATATTTTTTTAAACAAAGTAAGTGTGTAGTCTTGGAAGGACTTTACGTAAATGGCTGTGTATATAACCTGTACAAAATTAAGCTATTTTAAGTTTCAGACTACAAGCACCAGGACACAAATGTCTATTCTCTGTATTACATTTCAGCAAGTTTTGCAGAACTAGTAAAAGTTTTAAAACTTGCTACTACCAGTTATGTCCACTGTAGCAAGATGTCTTAAGTTATAACAAAGACCTCCTTGGGTTTCAGGATGCTGGGGGCATATGGACAGAGACACAGGCAGACAACCCACAGGTGATCTGACCCAGAATGGAAACCTTATAACTCACTGAGGTTGGATATTATACTTCAGGGTAAAGGACTGGAAGTTGAGACACTATGTCGATCCTGTGATGAGGAACCACGAGGGACATATATCAATCTGTCAGAAGTGTGGAAAATCAGTCTGAAGGGCTAAGACTGGATCACAGAGACCAGTTAGAATTAGACTACAGCCTACTTGGGGGAAGGATAGCCAGTCTTGCCAGATTCTGAACCCCAACTGAGTGACTACAAGTCCCAGTTTGACAGGACTGTTCTCATTTTACCACTGTAAGTCCTGCATCCTGCAAAATCCCTTTATACTAGGCAAACCCCAACAGGTGGGCATCCCAAACATAGCTCTGAGCTGTGTTTGAGACATGACAGACATCCAGCAAATATTCGTCAAAAGGATGATGCAGGCAGCCACTGCATTCGTTTAGGTAGAAGATAAGCAAAGTCTGAGTTGGCAGAGTGGAAATTAAGACAGAGACGAAGGTACAGATGAAAGAAACAGGATGGAGAATCGGCTGGAGCTGGCGGTTTACTAGATAAGTAACATGATGGGTGGGGAGGGGGTAATCAAGTGAAAGAGACATTGGTGGAGGCACCACTTTTGACAGGAAAGAAACAGGGAGGCAAGGATGTCACGGGAAAGCAAGATATGCCAAGGCTGAGGTTCTGATAGAACATGGAGTGTATTTGTTCAGAAGGTTTCTACTTAATGGTTCTCAGACTTGAGTGAGCATCACAGACACCTGGAGGGCTGGTTAAAACACATTGCTGAGCCCTCCCCCAGAGTTTCTGTCCAGGTGCAGGTTGAGCCCAAGATTCTACATTTCTAACAAGTTCCCAGATGCTGCTGGAGAATGATCAACAACTCTGAAGTTCAGGCTGAAAATATACAGCTCTATGCCATCAGGTTTGATGGTGGCAGAAAAGCCAGGAGAGGAAGCTGGTGCCTGAGACAACAATGGCTAGATACCTGTGTGCACTTGAAAGGGCCTGGGTTAGTTGTGGCCCCAGGTTCTAAATTTATATTTGGTCATGTAACCATCCTCCTTTTATCCAGCCATTACAGAGATTCTAAAGTTTGTTGTGAATGAAGAATAGACATTCTAATTTTTAATTAGTGATGGGATATTGGCTCTTCAAGTCTGATACTGTGAATAGCACTTATTCAAGATGGTATCATTGTCTGTAAATAAACATTTGTGAAATTAAAGCCTCTGCTTCTTACAATTAAGCAACCCAAACATAGATTATTTAACTTCTGACTTGATATATCCTTGGTTAGTTAGCAGTGATCATATGACCATGCTTTTAAAACTGCAAAGCCCTAATCCAATGTCAGCATGTACATTGAATGATTTGAGCATCTGATGCTTATTCCTCTTGCATCCAAAATATTCTACTGTATGCTTGACAACCTCTATTGTACTGTTCTTTTCACCAGGAAAAACCTCGGGGGCCACATCTGCAGGGATAAACCCTTCCCTTCCTCTACATCATGTTACAGATAATCCTGTAAATTATGGGAAGTTGTACCTGAGTAGGTAAATGGATTACCTTCTCACAAAAACAGTCAATCCTCCTCCCCAGAAAAGGTAAAAGTACAAGTCAGAGATGAGAGCAGCTGGAGTATGACTGTTTTTTCCCCTTCGCAAGGATCATCTTGAGTTCTGTCCAGTCACAGCAGTACTTTCCCTGGGAATTTTAATGCTGATGATGGACTGAGAAGATGCAGAGGAGCCCCTCCCTGCTTCCCAGTCTTATCTCAGACTATGGCTCACCTTCTCCTTCAACCAATCCTTCCCCATTCTACCAGGGGCATTAGAGCAAACTGTCAAAGTGCCCCACCTCACAGACCTAGCCCCTCCTAACCACACCGCAGGGCCTGAGTGCCGGTGGGGTTCTGCTTGTGACCTACCAGCCAGCAGTGAATTCCACATGGGCATCAAAAAAGCCAGTGATCTGGCCAGTGGCCACCTTCCAGCCCTCGATGCGAGCTCGGATCAGGCCCTCTCTCTTTTGATTGCGCACCACCTTCACGAGACCAGGGTAGCGTTTGTGGACGTACTCCTCCAAGGGGGCCTTCAGCTCCTCTACAAATGACAAAAAGCAAGAAGATCCATAAATATGTCATTTCAGGTATGTGTCCAACCCATGGATGCCAACAGCTCGTTAGGAAGTTCAAAGACTGCAGAACATTTTGCATGTTAGTCATTTTAGGAAAAGGTGACTCAGTCAGTGTGAGACTTGGAAGATATCCCTGACACACCAAGCCAGGACAGCAATGTTCTCCCAGTGTCCAAGGTACACAGCTGCACAGAACCCAGGCCTAGCCTTCATATCCCAATTGCTGCAGGCTGGCAGATTTCTTGAGATTTCTTTTCATTGTGGCCTTTCTTCCTTCACTGGCCAACGTTCCTGAACTCCCACCATCCCCTGGGGCCTGTTTGTCTACTTCTGTATGGGCTCTGCCATCTGCACATACACTGGCTCTTACCAGTACGTGACCTGAGTGGTCCAGTGATGCATGAAATACAAAGTAACAGGATTGGTGTTATAGTCTTAAGATGCCAAAGAAATGTTTGCCCAGTATAGAAAAGCTAATGTGGCAGAAAATGTAATGTTACCAGGGAATTGAACCCTCTTCCTTATTCAACAAGCAGGTGCTATGAAGTACTTTATTTATATTATTTAATTTAATCCTTAGGGCAACCCTAGGAGTTTGCTAGATTAATTCCATTAATTAACTGGATGAATTCCACTTTGCAAATTAAGAAACAGTCTTAGGGAGGCTAACCTATCCCCAAATCACACACCTAGTAATGGTAGAATTAACATTTAACTCCACAGATATAAAGGTCAGTATCTTATACAGGTAAGAATCACCAGATGTAGGAGGACAGGAAGGGGCTCTCAGATTGAGATTCTGAGATATGCAGACTCTAAGGATCCACCCTCAGAGAGTCTCATGGGGTCCAGGAGCAGCCCAGGTGATTCAGATGCAAGCAGATCACCAACAATACTTTAAGAGACATTTTACCTCTGACTTGGTTCTAGAGGAACCCAAAAAGGCCATTTTTATAGATGACATGCAGACTGAACATGGCAAATTTTGGCAAACTGAAGCCATATATTTGCAGCATCTGTAAAGGTTGACCTCTTTAGGTCATGGCAGTTGTCTGTAGGTATGATGCAGCCGTGTGATCCAGGAGAAAACACAGAGGATGGGTGTACATAGATGGGAGCAGGAGATTCCCTGAGGTACAGAAATGTAAAATAGTTCCAGTCAGCCAAAGGCATGGATAGTGTTAAGGGCTGAACTGTGTTCCCCCGAAATTTACCTACTGAAGCCCTAATCCCTGCTACCCAAGATGTGAGCATATTTGGCAACAGGGACTTTTAAAAGGTGATTAAATTTAAATGAGGTTATTAGGGTGGGCCCTAATCCAATTGGACTGGTGTCCTTTTCAGAAGAGATCTGGACGCACACAGAGCCACCAGGAGCGTGCATACAGGGGAGAGAAAACCTGAGCACACAGCAGTCTGCACACTGAGGAGAGAGGCCATAGAAGCCACCCCTGCCAACACCTTGATCTTGGCCTTCCAGCCTCCAGAAGTGTGAGAAAATAAATTTCTGTCATTTAAGCCACCCAGTCTGTGGCACTTTATTATGGCAGCACTGGTAGGTGAATACAGGGAGGTATGGGTTTGGAAAGGAGAGAAATGGCATCAGGGAAAGCAGAAACCTCTAACGAGTCACAGTGTGAAGTTGGGTATACAGACTACAGTCACACCTGGGTCCCAGGCCCTAGTGCTACCATTTATTACTCAAGGGACCCTGGGCAATTCAGACAATCAGTTCTGGGCTCAATTTCATCTTGTACAGAATGGGGATGATGATAACAGCATGGACCTTACAGGGTTGTGGAGAGGACTGAACAAGCTAATGGATACAGAATGCCTAGAATTATCCCTGGCCCAGTGTAAATGCTCACCCTTGAGGAGCTGGCTTTAGTAATTATTTTTTGTCTTTCCCTCCACTTACATGTAAGGCACTTGAATAGAGATTTCAGAGCAGCTCAGGGAGCCTGCGGAGGCTGCACTCAAGATGGAAAAATAGGCTATAAGCTAGAGCTAGGTTTTTAAACTGGAGGGTGAATTGGTACCAATAGGAGATGTTGAATAGCTCCCCTACAGACTAATTTTCAGAAGGTCCAGGTTGGGCCTAAGGATTTGAGTTCCTAACAAGACCCAGCTTGTGCCCAGCCCTGGCCATTGGGAACCACACTTTGAGAACCACTGAGCTTAAAGGACTTTCTTGGCCAATGCTTTCTAAAGGCCCATGCTTGGCACACAGTGTGCCTGCAATGTCATCTACTGGTGTTTTCACCAGCATTGCTGACGTCTTTGTCATGATCCCAGATTGGGGAAGAGACTTTGGAAGAAGCCAGGCTGTAGGGACCCTCTGATTCTTCACTCATCAGGAGCGAGAGAAAGATAACCAAGAAAATAGGGCTGGAGTGGCCCAGGGAACATTCAGCTTCTAGAAACCATCTATGAATGGAATGTTGGCGGGTTTTGCCTGTGTTAATTTTCTTGAAACAAGAATTCTAGCAAGAAGATTGGGTAGACTATGCCTGCCTTGTGCATCATTACTCCCCATGAGTGCTACATGGGCGAGCAGGGGATGAAATGCATGCCACAGAAGGCAATGGCCTGTGCCTGGGCACAGCACCCACAGAAGGGCACAGTGGGGAGCCTGCCCATGCCTGGCGCTGCCTATGAGGGCCAGAATCTTGGGAATCTCTGTAAGTTCAAGAAGAACATTCTGAGTGCTGAGCTCCAAGCCAGGGGACCTGCATATGCTGTTGGCTTGGGAGCCCCATGAGGACTCTGCCTGGCAGTCAGATGTCAGCTCCTGGACATGCCCGTCACCATGGCTAAGTGTGCACTGGTTTCCTCATTTGTTCAGCGGTTGTGATTGAGATTTCAGGGGAGAGAGGAAATGGGCATTAACCATTCTGGCAAAAGAGAATATGGTTCACCACTCCTGCCCTTCCACATCCCAAGACCACTGAGATATGGGCATTAAAGGACTTTAAGAAGTGTAAAAGGATAAATGGAAAATGCCTAAGCAATTATTATTAACCTAATGCCTATCAAGAAAAAAGGGATGCTACATATAAAGCCCTTGATATGTATTCAATAGATATCAATTTAAAATTTGCTATGAACAACAGCAATGATTTGATTGGGCTTCTTTTCCCAATCCCTCCATGGGATTGCATCCTCAGAATGTATCGGGTGGTGCTTCTGCCTGGATTCAAAATCAATTCAGACACAACATTCCCTTGAGATGCTTACAATCCAGTTAAAGAGAAGAGACATGTTCAAGGAATCAAAATATTCAGGATTACAAGGAATACAGAGCTAATGGCCAAAGAAAATTGGCCATAGAGGGAAAGTGCTGTGAATGAGCAGAGAGGGAGAAATTATTCTGCCTGGGAGCATTCATAGAGAAGGCAGCATTCAAGTTTAGCAGAAGTTTTGGATGCGTGCTTTCATGATCCCAGAACACAAGGACGTGATGGAATACATAAGCATGGAATTGGATCTTCTCAGGTCACAGATTCACTAGTGGCTGGGGGACTGGGAAGCTGCTGATAATTAGAAAAGAAGAAAAGAAGAGAAGTGGACAAATAAGTTCATGAGTTCACCTAGGGACAGGCTGAGGGGCTAGCAGACACCAAGGGTAGGCTGCTGAACCAAGCTAGTGATCCAGAGATAAGGAGGTGTCAGGAACACAGCGGTGAGATCTAGAAGCCCAGGAGAGGAAGAAAGTTCCAGGGGATGGTGTGAAGAAGTCTTAGACCCACACTTTGGAAAACGGGTATTTAGTAGGCAGGGAGAAGAGATAGAAAGCAAGGCTGGCTAGAAACAGCATCACAGGGGCAGAGGCACATCAGGAGCAGAAACATGGCAAAGTTGCCAAACGAGACACGTGTGTTCATTTTACAGTTCTTGATAGAGCACCTTCAAGGCCTGAAAATGATGTAATTCTTATCCTCCAAGAGTCACTCAACATCCAGTGTCAGGAAAATCAAATGTATTAGAGAAAATGAGAATGGACCATGCATCTAGACAGAGACCAATTTCCTGATGGGACTAGGGAGAAGAAGAAATCCCTGATGCATGCAGCCATCCCCTGCAGGGAGAGGTTAGCACCAAGACAAGTGGATGAGTAGGACAGCTCAGGAGAGACTCCCATAAAGGTTGGTCCTGGTGGAGCAGGGCTGTGACAGCCTGAGGCACTGGGGTGTCGAGATTCAGAAATCACCTTAAAGAGAGAGAGCCCACAAATTAGATGAGGGAAATCAAGGTCCCCAGGCTCACCATGGAAGCAAACAAATCTCCAACCTGACAGTGATAAGAAATGTCACACCTGTCACCTAAGAAGCTTTGCAATCCTTAACCGATGAAACCAGGCATGGACATAATGGTAGCAGTAAGAAAACCATCTTATTTAAGGTTTTTCTTACCGGCCAACTCAGAAGGAAACAAAAACTTGTTTTTGCAAAAATAAATGTTTACCGTCCAGTGTTATAAAATCCAATACTAACTTGGTGTGGAGCCATTGGGAATCCTTATGTTTCTCAAGGTTTTGATAAAAACGATTTGGGGAAGTTGGGGGAAGAAACAAACACCACCACTGATCAGAAAGGAACAGAGGGAGAAGGATAGATCATCTCCTTAACAATAAAATCTTAAGGACACATTGGCAACAAGAAAGTTACAAACTACGAACTAAGGCAAAAAATATTATTATAGAATCGAATCCAGGTCTCCCACTTGCAGTGATTAGAGTCTAAACCATCAGTGTAGTCCTGTCTCTAAGCCCTCCTCAGAAGAAAGCGCTGACTAGCAGACTCACCCCCACCTGCCCCAAAACCAGCTCACAAACCTCAGCACCACATAGATGGTGGCTTGGAAGTGGTCATACCGCCCAGGGTTGAGCCACATCTATACCTCTCAACCCTCGTTCAGCTATCCAGTCTTGATGATGAGACTTATTGGGTAAGTTCTAATTCTCCCT